GAGAGAGAGAGAGAGAGAGAGAGAGAGAGAGAGAGAGAGAGAGAGAGAGAGAGAGAGAGAGAGACCAGGAAAAACGATACCCTTCCCATGCAGATTTCGGACGGCAGGCGACTCCACCTCGAACGTTATCCTGCAGTGGTCGCGCGTCAGCCTCCTCATCCCACTGAGAGGCTTCGAGAATCCCCCGATTCGTCAGCCTCCTCATCCCACTGAGAATCCCCTATCCGCTGATTCGTCAGCTTCCTCATCCCACTGAGAAGCTTCGCGAATTCCCCATCCCCCAGCCTCGTGCGAGAGCAGCGGCGAGTTCAAAGTCATTCTAGAGTTATCTATGTATCGGTTGTCCGAATGCGCAATACCGAACGTTATCTCGCAGAGTCGTGCGTCGAGAATGCGGTCCCTCATCCCCCCGAGGTGTCAAATTACTCGTAAGCGCGCGCGACGTAACTTCGTCGTCGTCGTCGTCGGAGGGCTAAGGAATATTCCGGAAGATGCATGAACCTTGACAACGAATCCAGGAATCTCTGTAGGCGATTCGATTCCTTGAAATCTGCGAAACCTCCCATCCCCATTTTTTAACACTTGAGAGTTTCCTAAGAACTATCACCAAAAATCTGAGGTATAGGGTTCCAATGACAAGAATAATTCTCCATTTCGCAATTCGGGTAGGTGTCTTATCGCTCGAACCGATGCAAAACAATTCCAGGAAATCCTTGAAACCTTCGTATAAAAGGCCCTTCTATGATGCGCAGCGATCATTGTTTGTCGAACCTTCAAGTGCATTATTGCTATTAACGAGATGGATTCTACAAAGTGTAAAAAGTTGATTGAGATTATGGAAGGAGCGTACAAACTTCTGAAGAAGGGTTCATCGACGGCAGAAATTGAAAAATGGACGAATTTTGGAACTTAAAATATCAGACTTTTGAACAAAATTCTGAGAAACGTTACTCTTACGATCGGAGAGAAAACTAAAATTTTAACAACGATCGGAATCCTCAAATCTCTGAACGAAAAATTTAAACAACAACTTCGAAAAAGAGGTGGAGGAACGATGAGGGAGAGAAGAAGTGACAGAGTGCGTTGGGATGACTTGGAATCTGCCTTTAAAGGAAGAATAGGGACTGGAGTCATTGCAAACTTGCGACACAAGGACTTGGGTCGTATCTTGGAAGATTCCAGAAAATTGTTTACTGCGAAAATAAAAAACGCACTTCGACAGGACGGAATTTTGAGAGTGAACGTCGTTTTGTCTTGTAAATTCGAGACCATGAAAGCTGACGAGATTGTCGAAGAACTAAAGTTCTTCAGCACTAAGGACGAAGTTGTTCTACCATCCACCGATATCAGCGACTGGTTCAACAGAAATGTGAAGGAAAAGTTACTAGCCAAGGTTGAAGACTTTCAAGAAAGGGAATCTGGTTGGTCATTGGTAGAAATTATAAACTTGGCGGTAAACATCAACAGATACATTCCGATACACGGTGGCCTATTTACTTTCATCGAATTATCGAAGGAGGTGCAAAGTAAGAAAGCAGTCGTAAACATTAGAAACAAAGATCCGTACTGTTTCCTCTGGTCCGTCACCGCAGCTCTTCATCCAGTTAAAAATAATGTAAGCGTTATCGGTTCGTACCCCCACTTCAGCTCAGTGCTAAGGTATGAAGGTTTAAATTTTCCCATTGGCTTAAAGGACATTTCGAAATTCGAGAAGATGAATGATTTAGTAATTAACGTTTACGGTATAGAGTATGATAGTGGTCATGAGATAGTACCAATTTATCTAAGTCAGCAAAAGTCAAACAAGGAAGCGATTCATTTACTCATGTTAGAAACAAAAATTTATTCGAATGGAGATGACGTGGACATGGAAGACGGTAGTGCTTATCACTTTGCTTGGATTCGAAATCTATCTCGTTTACTGAGTTCACAAATTTCAAAACATCATGGTTTTACCAGACTGTGTGATCGATGTCTATGTCACTTTACAACAGTAAACTCTTTCGAAAGACATAGACACGATTGTACAAATATAAATAAATGTAGAGTCGTATTACCGGATGAAAAAGATAAAATTATGAAATTTAAAAATTATAAGTATAAAGAACCTGTTCCGTTTGCCGTTTATGCGGACATCGAGTATATGTTAGAGCCAATTGCGGATAAGTCTAATTCGTTAAACACAACTCTCTATCAAAGACACGTTCAACACAGTATAGCGTACTATTTACAATGTAACTTTGATGACTCTATCTCTAAATTTAGAGCTTATCGTGGGGATGACTTGGAATCTGCCTTTAAGGGAGGAATAAGGACTGGAGTCATTGCAAACTTGCGACACAAGGACTTGGGTCGTATCTTGGAAGATTCCAGAAAATTGTTTACTGCGAAAATAAAAAACGCACTTCGACAGGACGGAATTTTGAGAGTGAACGTCGTTTTGTCTTGTAAATTCGAGACCATGAAAGCTGACGAGATTGTCGAAGAACTAAAGTTCTTCAGCACTAAGGACGAAGTTGTTCTACCATCCACCGATATCAGCGACTGGTTCAACAGAAATGTGAAGGAAAAGTTACTAGCCAAGGTTGAAGACTTTCAAGAAAGGGAATCTGGTTGGTCATTGGTAGAAATTATAAACTTGGCGGTAAACATCAACAGATACATTCCGATACACGGTGGCCTATCTACTTTCATCGAATTACCGAAGGAGATGCAAAGTAAGAAAGCAGTCGTGAACATTAGAAACAACGATCCGTACTGTTTCCTCTGGCCGGTTACGGCAGCCCTTCATCCAGCAAAACTTCATGTAGACAGGATCAGTTCGTACCCCCACTTCAGCTCAGTGCTAAGGTATGAAGATTTAAATTTTCCCATTGGCTTAAAGGACATTTCGAAATTCGAGAAGATGAATAATTTGGTAATTAACGTTTACGGTATAGAGTATGATAGAGGTCATGAGATTGTACCAATTTATCTAAGTCAGCAAAAGTCAAGCAAGGAAGCGATTCATTTACTCATATGAAGGTTTAAATTTTCCGATTGGCTTAAAGGACATTTCGAAATTCGAGAAGATGAATGATTTGGTAATTAACGTTTACGGTATAGAGTATGATAGAGGTCATGAGATTGTACCAATTTATCTAAGTCAGCAAAAGTCAAACAAGGAAGCGATTCATTTACTCATGTTGGAAACAAAAATTGATTCGAATGGAGATGACGTGGACATGGAAGACGGTAGTGTTTATCACTTTGCTTGCATTCGAAATCTATCCCGTTTACTGAAATCACAAATTACAAAACATAAACGTTATACTAAACTCTGTGATCGATGTCTATGCCAATTTACAACAGTAAACTCTTTCGAAAAACATAGACTCGATTGTGCAAATATAAATAAATGCAGAGTCATATTACCGGATGAAAAAGATAAAATTATGAAATTTAAAAATTATAAGTATAAAGAACCTGTTCCGTTTGCCGTTTATGCGGACATCGAGTGTATGTTAGAGCCAATAGCGGATAAGTCTAATTCGTTAAACACAACTCTTGCAAATATAATAAATGCAGAGTCGTATTACCGGATGAAAAAGATAAAATTATGAAATTTAAAAATTATAAGTATAAAGAACCTGTTCCGTTTGCCGTTTATGCGGACATCGAGTGTATGTTAGAGCCAATTGCGGATAAGTCTAATTCGTTAAACACAACTCTCTATCAAAGACACGTTCCACACAGTATAG